GGAGCTACTTGTACTTGTCCTCTGCTCTTCCTCAGTAGCATGTTGGACACCTTCCGAACTGAGGGGCCCATCTTCCAGCGTCATATCTTTTAGCCTTTTGTTTCTGATCATGGGGCGTTCTTGGCAAAGATACTGGAGTGGCATTGCCATTTCCTACTCCAGGTGGATTGCGTTTAGTCGGAACTCTTCACTATGTCCTGACCATCTTGGGTGTCCCTGCACGGCATAGCCCATAGCTTCTCTGAGTTACTCAAGCCCCTTCGCCACGACAAGGCAGCAATCCATGAAGGGGATTGTACAGGAGGCAGCAACAAAAATCATCCCAAAGAAAAGGAAAGGAAATGCAAGAAAGCAAAGTGACTGTCCAACAAGACCTTACAAATAGCAGAGAAGGGAAACAGAATGCAAGGGAGATAGGGAAAGTTACAGAAAATTGAATGTAGATGTGATGATCGCCCCACCTCACTCATGCCATTCATAGTCATTTGCAAATCAGCTCATTTGCATGAGCCTATGAGAGGACTGGAGAGGCAGAGTCAGCAGCTATATGAAGATTTGGCAGGAGAAGGAGGAGTCAGATAGAGATTGGGATGACATCCAGATAGAGAGGAGGGGGCTGGTTAGTCAGAGAGAGAGGGAACAGATACTGAGTGATAAGGCTGGTTAAGAAAATAGGTAGAGAAGATAGTAATGATATTGGAAGAGAAAAATATGTACTGAAAGAACTGTTAATGATTTGCTTGTGTACAATGTTTATCTGAAGAACTTCTGTTTCACGTCAATAAATAAGATCTGTTTGTATTCACAAGACAAGTGTTCTGACAAATGCCATTTATATTGTGGATTGAGGTAATCCACTGGTGGCAGCGAGAGGAAGATGCGACGTGAGCCTTTGTGAGGGTAAAACACGCAGGTGCCAGAAGGGTGAACGCTACAGTAGACATCCGAAAAATAGCAAGGAGAGATAAGAGGGCCTTCTTAAATGAACAGTGCAAAGAAATAGAGGAAAATAATAGAAAGGGGAAAAAACAGATCTGTTCAAGAAAACTGGAGATATCAAATGAACATTTTGTGCAAAGACTGACATGATAAAGGACAAAAATGGGAGGGACCTAACAGAAGCAGAAGACATCAAGAAGAGGTGGCAAGAATACACAGAGGAATTATACCAGAAAAATCATAGATGTCCCAGACAACCCAGATAGTGTGGCTGCTGACCTTGAGTCAGACATCCTGGAGAGTGAAGTCAAGTGGGCCTTAGAAAGCATGACTAACAACAAGTCAAGTAGAGGTGATGGCATTCCAGTTGAACTATTTAAAATCTTAAAAAGATTTTAAGGTGCTACACTCAATATGCCAGCAAGTTTGGAAAACTTGGCAGTGGCCAGAGGATTGGAAAAGTTCAGTCTACATCCCAATGCCAAAGAAGGGCAGTGCCAAAGAATGCTCCAGGAATTCCCTCATTTGGGTCTCCCAAATTCTCCATTCTAACCTCTCCCTTTGTTCTCTTTCCACTCTCACTCTTTCCTCTCTCAACTTCTTCCTCCACTCCTTAGTTTCTCATTCACCCCAGTATGATGGTTTGGAGCTTAACTCACGCCTCCTCCGAGCATCAGCTTCTTCTTTGGGGACACGCAATTTATCCATTTTTCCTGTCCATGGATCTTCTAACCAAATCCACTCCCAGCCTACTGGCAACTCTCCTTCCCCCCTTTTTATATCCCCCACCTTCACTATCTCCCGCCTTTTTTCTCCCGCGCCTGCCAAGGTAGTCCCAGGTTCTGCAATCCTGACTCCTTTCAAATCTCCCTCCAAATTCCCCGGATCATGTCCAGGTGGTTTCGTCTTCCGGGGTGAGGGAACTGGTGGGGTCTGGCTCTCTTTCTCAGTGGTTGGTGGGAGGGATGGCACTCCCAAGAGAGGGGTCTCTCTCTCTCTCTCCCTCCTTCTTACAACTTATTGTTTTTTTCAGTGATCTTAATGACTTACTTACTTACTTTATAACCCCTCTCTCAATAGTGCAATGTCTTATGACAAATTACAAAGCTATACAAGACAATTTGAAAATGCAGATTTAAAACAATTCAAAGTTAAAACAATTTAAAAACATAACATTAAAACTGTTGGATGAACCCTCAAAGGCTCTAATTAATAAATAAGCATGTTTTGACCTGGAGCCAAAATGAAACCAATACCGTGTGCCTTCAAGGCGATTTTGATTTGTGGTGAATGTCTTAGTAAAATATTCAGAAATGGTTTGCCAGGCCTTTCTTCTGATGGCACTTTAGGACCATGCAGCTTACCAAAAGGCCACACAGCCCATAACCAGTCATTCGTACATATTCCAAGTGATGTTGACTGGCCTGTCTCTCAGGAGGATCAGTGGAAATTCAAACTCCTGACTTACATGTAAGAAAGTATGAGAAATTGTTGTTTCTGTGGGGGAACTCTAAAGCCTATGGGCACAGTATTGCCTAGAGAGAGTTTCACTGTTGTGTAGGCTGGATCTTGTTTGTAGTTGTCAAGAAGGTAGATAACTCTGTTTCTGCTGTGTAGTATGGACTCAAGATACCTTAATGTTCCATTTCATTTTAGTTGTGAACTGTATTTTGCTTTTGCTTTTACCTCCTTTGTTTTCTGCAGCAGTATATTTTATATTTCACAGCAAACTCATTAAGCCTTCTCAGGAAAGCTAAATTGCATAAATAAACACTTGGATCCATCGGCCAATTTTTAATTTTGCAATTAAAGTCTTTAACACTTTAAGGGACATGATGCCAGAAACTTAAGAGTCAGAATATTCCACCCTTTTGTTCCAAAGTCAGGGCTTTGGAATTGGCAGGAACAGGGCCTTTTTACACAGATTCCTATTTGTATTCTGTACTGTTGAGAAAAGTAATGATTTCCCCCCTTCTTCTTCTTTAGAACAGCATACATTTTGGAACACAAACTACTCTCTGTGTTCTATGCAGTGAATTTTTGGATAATAACAGATGATGCAATTCATATAATGCCAATTTCAGCAGAAAGCCTTTGTGGTACCAAAGGGAACCCCAGACAATTACTGTGCCTTATCCTAAGTCAACCATTCTATTAATTTTGTTTTCTTCAGTTAATGTTGACAATAGGCAAGCAGGTTTTAGACAAATAGTAGTAAAAACAGCACTAGGAGCAATGAAACAAGAAAGGACATGTATTTCATACAGAAGCCTAATTGTCACTAGGCCTTTAAAAATAATCATTTATTTTGATTTTAAGAAAGGATGTCTGAAGTTGGACATTTGTTCACCTGAATATCCTATTCCATGCTTCTGAAACTGAATATCCTAGTCCATGCTTCCCAGGATAGTATACAGATCAGAATTTAGACAGTGTCTATTGTGCTTCCCAGGTATTCCAAGGCAGTGCTTGGCTCAAAAGACACAGACACCCCTAGTTGGAGAGGGAGGAAAGTGCATTTGAGAGAAAAACACAGTTGCTTGTCCATGCTTATGAGGTTGCAAATGTTGTTTACTTTTAAATTATTATACAACTTCTAGTTATGTTAAGCACTTCAGAAAACCTTATTGTGGTAGTGGTGGCAGCAGTAATAGTGGTACTTCTATGCATAGTTTTTAATTTCTCCTGTTTCCCTCTCAAATTAGGATGTGCCCACGAAACTAGTGGCAAAAGCCGTTCCCCTGCCTATGACAGTCCGTGGACATTGGTTCCTGAGCCCAAGAACTGAATACACAGTCGCTGTACAGACTGCCTCAAAGCAAGTTGATGGCGATTATATGGTTTCAGAATGGAGTGAAATCATTGAATTCTGCACAGCAGGTGAGCTTCTTCCTTTAAAGTTTTAGCCCATCAAAAACAAGCAACGTCTGTATGTCACATTTTTGTTTGCATCATTCTGCTTTATAGATTGCAACTGACTGATGGATGGAAATGCAAATTCATTTTTGGGACACTAGTTTTTGTTCTGTGTATTGCCTCAATTGGATTAACATGCAAGATAGCCATGCAACTCCCTAATCATCTCCCTCCCCAAGTTATATTGTCGTTTCAAGGGACAGAGCTAGAGATGGGCACAAACTGCCAGTTCAACCCTTGGTGCTAGTTTGTTTTTTTCTCCAAATAGGTGTTCAGTGCTTCCCAGCCCCACCACCCCCAGCAGGCACCAACCCAGACAGCACTTGGAGGATGTGGGGAATGGAAGCTGGGGTACTGCTTCTGAGTGGGCGCACACCAGAGCAGGCAGGGCTGGGAAGCATCAAATACCTGTTTGGACAAAACAACAACAACAGCAACAACAACACACAAACACACACACACACACAAACCAGCATGAACCACCACAATGCCAATTTGTACCAATCTCTAAACAGAACCAAATATATGAGACTATGAATCATAGATTTTCTTAAAGCAAATGCTGCTGCTTACTGCCACCAGCATTAATTCCATAGTGCACTTCAGTACTATGAGTAATGATATGAATCTTCACTTGTTTTGATCTTATAGGCAAGAATTAAAATTTTAAAAAAGCTTTGTTTTTCAGAAATTGTGATGTATGATATCACCTGCATTATTTTTAAAAAGTTAATGTATTTTTATTTATTTTTAACTAATATTTTAAACCATTTCTTTCTGCTAAATAAGATTACAAGAGTTTTTGGCATTTTTCAAATTTTGGTACCTTTTGATGAAAAATTCATTGGAGTGTTTTTTTGCGGGGGCAAAAATAAACCTTACAACAAACTTCATTTTGCACTGAAAATGTTGTATTTTTTGCAGGAATTTTTTAGACTCTTGCACAAAATGCAAGATTTTAAATGTAATTTCCCCACACACAGATACACACAACACCCTTTTTTGGTGAGTGAGCTATCATTCACTTTGGGCTTGTTTAGTGTTCAAAATCTATCTTCTGTGGACAGAAGGTTGTGTTCACAGTAGGCATTTTTCTGTAATATTCAGTGATTTCTCCCCTCTGCACCATAATTCACACCATTGATAAGGTCTCCTCTGTGGCTGCAAAAAAATGCACTGCACATAACTCATCCCCAAGATGGAATTCCATAAGAGTAGACATAAATTGTCACAGCTGAAGTTTTACTTCATATAATTTGCAAATTGGCTCACTGTTTTATGATTGGTAATAGACTTTCATTTCATAAGCATACGTATTCTTGCTTTGTAAGTCTGATTTCTGACATGAAATATTCCCTCAGTCATATCTGTTCATTAATTTGATTTTAGTGCTTGTGGTTGATTAGATCTAAGGTATCTTTTGGCCTCAGTAGCATTTTCTGGGAGGCTAGCAGGTTTTCTATGGAGCTGAGGGCAGGCTTCTACCAGTCAAGGTGCATGTCTCTTAATCTGAAACCACTCATTGATTTTTGTCAGACTCCAATGCCACTAATTTACTTTTAAGTATTTCAGGGAAAGACTTTTGGAAGGGGGCCTTAATTATACAGATACATAAATATAAAAAAAATCAGTTATTTGTAAACACAAGTGACTCATAGGGTTGACTAATCAAAGAGCCAAGCCAGTCATCATTCCCATTTAAGTGTATGGTTTGTGATAAACCTGGGTTTATCGCAATGTAACATGCAAAGCAACTTGTTGGTTGATGTACAAACACTACTCTAGAAAGGAGTCTATAATGTTGATATAGTCCTTCTAGCTAATCTAAGTGCTCTACCAGATATATCTGTGTAAAGTAAAGGGATATCATTCTTAAGTGTGACCAGCTCCACAGTCCCCATTGACTCAACCAAGAACACCATGTGTACTTGAAAGGTGACATTCTTACTAGCAGATTGTTTTGCATTCACAGATTATTCAAAGGTTCATTTAACACAACTTTTGGAAAAAGCAGAAGTGATTGCAGGACGCATGCTTAAATTTTCGGTCTTTTATCGGAACCAGCACAAAGAGTATTTTGACTACATCAGGTAAGGTGTCCAGTACGTTTCATAGGTAAATCTCTCCCCATAGATAAGAACTTTGCCTTCTCCATTCTATAGGTAGCAAGAGGATTGTCTGCATACTGGTTTATTATTTTAATATGTTTACTAAATTACCATTGGCTATCACTGAGGTGAAATTAGATGGTAACTAAGTGCATTTTTATATAGATGCATAACAGGTGCTGTACTTGAGAGGTTGGAGTGTGCAATGGCTCATATAAATTTTAAAACCTGGGAACAAGAAAGTGTAGCATGCACTGTGCCACCATTAGAATAAAGATTCGTCGTCTAGTCATTTAGTCGTTTCCGACTCTTCGTGACCCCATGGACCAGAGCACGCCAGGCCCTCCTATCTTTCACTGCCTCCCAAATAAAGATTAAAGGGACCTAAATCAAAATGTTATGTGCTTCCACTATGCTGGAGGATCTCCCATTTTGTTCCCGCTCGCCTCCTATTTCAGACTTTGAAATCTTCCCAGCCCTAGTAGCCCAGAGTCAGCACAGTTGTTAACTTGGAGAAGTCTCCGTGTAGCTGTTTGTAGGTGGCTTTACTGAGGAGCCCCAACACTTATTCGTTTTCTTCTTGCCTTCCCACTCCCCACACTGACTGCATACGTGCATGGTTTTTCTCTTTTCTTGGAACTCTTGTGGTTATTCTTGTCTGTTTCCTATACCTTTTCTGCTAGCCCCAGGATTCAGCTGAGCACGCAGATACCTGCCTGTTCCTTTGCAGTGGAGCTGTTTTGCCAACAGAGCTATCTGCCCAATGTTGGCATTAACAAAGAGTAGAGTTTATATATATATTATCTATATTCTCTGCAGCCAAAGATGGAGAAGCTCTATACAGTCAGCAAAAACAAGACCTGGAGCTGACTGCGGTTCTGATCATCAGCTTCTCATAGCAAAATTCAAGCTTAGACTGAAGAGATTAGGAAAAACCACTGGGCCACTCAGGTATAATCTAAACCAAATCCCTTATGAATACACAGTGGAAGTAAAGAACAGATTTAAGGAACTAGATTTGGTGGACAGAGTGCCTGAAGAACTTTGGATAGAGGCTCGTAACATTGTCCAGGAGGCAGCAATGAAAACCATCCCAAAGAAAAGGAAATGCCAGAAAGCAAAGTGGCTGTCCAACGAGGCCTTAGAAATAGCAGAGAGGAGAAGGGAAGCAAAATGCAAGGGAGATAGGGAAAGTTACAGAAACTTGAATGCAGACTTCCAAAGAATAGCAAGGAGAGACAAGAGGGCCTTCTTAAATGAACAATGCAAAGAAATAGAGGAAGATAACAGAAAAGGAAAGACCAGAGATCTGTTCAGGAAAATTGGAGATATTAGAGGAACATTTTGCGCAAAGATGAACATGATAAAAGACAAAAATGGGAGGGACCTAACAGAAGCAGAAGACGTCAAGAAGAGGTGGCAAGAATACATGTCAGACTCCAATGCCACTAATTTACTTTTAAGTATTTCAGGGAAAGACTTTTGGAAGGGGGCCTTAATTATACAGATACATAAATATAAAAAAAATCAGTTATTTGTAAACACAAGTGTCTCATAGGGTTGACTAATCAAAGAGCCAAGCCAGTCATCATTCCCATTTAAGTGTATGGTTTGTGATAAACCTGGGTTTATCGCAATGTAACATACAAAGCAACTTGTTGGTTGATGTACAAACACTACTCTAGAAAGGAGTCTATAATGTTGATATAGTCCTTCTAGCTAATCTAAGTGCTCTACCAGATATATCTGTGTAAAGTAAAGGGATATCATTCTTAAGTGTGACCAGCTCCACAGTCCCCATTGACTCAACCAAGAACACCATGTGTACTTGAAAGGTGACATTCTTACTAGCAGATTGTTTTGCATTCACAGATTATTCAAAGGTTCATTTAACACAACTTTTGGAAAAAGCAGAAGTGATTGCAGGACGCATGCTTAAATTTTCGGTCTTTTATCGGAACCAGCACAAAGAGTATTTTGACTACATCAGGTAAGGTGTCCAGTACGTTTCATAGGTAAATCTCTCCCCATAGATAAGAACTTTGCCTTCTCCATTCTATAGGTAGCAAGAGGATTGTCTGCATACTGGTTTATTATTTTAATATGTTTACTAAATTACCATTGGCTATCACTGAGGTGAAATTAGATGGTAACTAAGTGCATTTTTATATAGATGCATAACAGGTGCTGTACTTGAGAGGTTGGAGTGTGCAATGGCTCATATAAATTTTAAAACCTGGGAACAAGAAAGTGTAGCATGCACTGTGCCACCATTAGAATAAAGATTCGTCGTCTAGTCATTTAGTCGTTTCCGACTCTTCGTGACCCCATGGACCAGAGCACGCCAGGCCCTCCTATCTTTCACTGCCTCCCAAATAAAGATTAAAGGGACCTAAATCAAAATGTTATGTGCTTCCACTATGCTGGAGGATCTCCCATTTTGTTCCCGCTCGCCTCCTATTTCAGACTTTGAAATCTTCCCAGCCCTAGTAGCCCAGAGTCAGCACAGTTGTTAACTTGGAGAAGTCTCCGTGTAGCTGTTTGTAGGTGGCTTTACTGAGGAGCCCCAACACTTATTCGTTTTCTTCTTGCCTTCCCACTCCCCACACTGACTGCATACGTGCATGGTTTTTCTCTTTTCTTGGAACTCTTGTGGTTATTCTTGTCTGTTTCCTATACCTTTTCTGCTAGCCCCAGGATTCAGCTGAGCACGCAGATACCTGCCTGTTCCTTTGCAGTGGAGCTGTTTTGCCAACAGAGCTATCTGCCCAATGTTGGCATTAACAAAGAGTAGAGTTACATTGTTCTGGTGGATTGTGATAAAAGATGACATCTAGCTCAATAAAATCTCATTCCCAAAATCCAGTGTGGAGAACATATAGAAGAATGCAGGTTTTTCTGTGATCGTTCCTTGTTGGATTATGAACCCTTAGAGTTACATTGTTCTGGTGGATTGTGATAAAAGATGACATCTAGCTCAATAAAATCTCATTCCCAAAATCCAGTGTGGAGAACATATAGAAGAATGCAGGTTTTTCTGTGATCGTTCCTTGTTGGATTATGAACCCTAGACACAAGTAGGAATTGTGCATACAATTTGTAGGGTTGGATTGCTGTAGCCATAAATCAGGATACAGTGCAAAAAATTAGGTAGACATAATCATTCTGTCACTGGCTAACACGTTTAGAGAGTGGGTTAAATTCTGCATCGCATCCTAAAGTAATCTAATCAGAAAGTGACCTGTGGGAGCGCCACTGCTGTTTTGACTTTTTGAATTGGGACCAAAGGCACTTTATTGGAAGCTAAGATGCACGCACTCTGTCATGCCTGGGCCTACTGTTCCATATGTGCAAATCTCAATCTACTTTTTAGGCCGAAGACACTGCCTTTAATCCAGCTGTTCTTGCAGATACACCTAAGATGTCTGCATGTGATTAGTTGCATAAGAATGTTATCAGAAATAGACAACAACATGGGTGTTCTGTTCCTTGTGGGCAAATGGTCTCTACACTCAGATTCCCATTCTGATTTATTCTTGCAGTTCTTAGTCCAGCAAGTGGATTTAATAAGTCTGTTTACAAACATTAATCTATTTAGGTGGATTAGAAAGAGTGTTAGTTATTTTGTTTCAAATAGTTTAGGTGTGTGTTGATTAGTCTGGTATCGGTGCTACTGCCAGTTCTGTGGGTAATTCCGGAATACAGTTAGCTTAACTGGCCACAGGATGTCACTATGCTACCATTCAGGAATGATTACCTGTCTTGCTTCACATTTTAGAACGGTGGCATTATTTTACTGATGTTTATCTTCTTGATATTTAGCTCACCTGCAATTGTTTTATCTCAGTTGGATGCCCCTTTTCTTCCCAATCTTGTCTTTCAAAAACAAAAAAGATGGACATTTTGAGGATAAACAACATCTTAAGTTTGTCTTGAGACAGGCTACACTTGAAAAACATAATAGCAAGCTTACAAAGAAATAGAAATGTCAAATATTCCCACTGGACACAAGCCTACCCCCCCCAAGCCCATGTGAAAGATTAGTTTTGTTTACCAGCATGGACCACTGATTTGGCACATTCAATATTTTTCTATGCTGGTGCAGCAAACCTGAGAAAATTCACGATTTCAGTCATTCCACTCTATTCTTGCTTCCCACAGGCCTCTTCATTTTGGTGCTCCGGTTATATTTGTATGTATGTACATATGCAACATTTTTCCTATTCATTATTGTGCAAGAAAACCATATTTTAAAAAAAATAATAATATAACACATGCATCTGAAAAATCGAGACACCACAGAAGTGTGTCTGCAAAATGCAACATGTGTTAATATTGAGTGTTACGGGGGAAGTGAGTTTAAATGAATTGGACAGGTTTTGGTGAACCAGATCTGAAAGCCTGAGGATGGATGAAATAATAAGGAAAGGTAAGCTAACTAATTCTGGACAGGAGAGGCTATGCTGGAACTGTGGAAATGTGTACCTTCCCACCCACCCCCATCTGAATTTTCATGGCAAAATAGAAAGGCAGAAGGCTCTTCCCCAATAGATTTGCTAGAATTAGTTAGTACCCTGACAACTGTAGGAAGGATAGCATCCCCCATCAGCTGTATCTTCTGACTTAATAAGGGGTACTCCTTACAGGAGTTTGCCACCAATTTTATGCTTCTGCACAACTGGAAATCCTGGCTCTTTTATTGTGCCTGTTTGAGGAATATACTCATCTCTGTCACACATTACATTTCAGGTATACACTTAAAAAAACGTGTGTCCACCTGAAAAGCATAGTGTGTGAAACAGCCCTAATGAAGAGCGGAGTTCTGTTGAATATTACAAATTAAAATCTGTTAATAGCCATTAGCCCCTCTATCTACAATTAGAAGCCTTGTACACTGAAGACACAACCTGTACTGGTGCCATTTTAAAAAGTGTAATTCAGCATTTCTAGCTAGATACATTCTTACCTCTTTATGGAAAAAATTTCTATATTTTGAAGTTCATCTTGGCTTTTTGTATTCACGAAGCTGTGTCTTCTCCTTAATTTTTTAAAACTGAAATGTTCTTATTCATTTTGTAAGTCATCGTTTGGAATGAAGGCTTCTGCATAATCTGTGTCATTCTTGCTGATGCCACTGTAAAAATAAACGGTTGCCCATCCTTCATTTTTAGAGAGCAGCACGGAGGTATTCTGCAACCTTCAGTCAAGGATAACAGTGGGAGCCATGGCTCTCCCATTAGTGGGAAGCTGGAGGGTATCTTCTTTAGCTGCAATACTGAATTCAACACTGGAAAGCCCCCACAAGATTCACCATATGGAAGATACAGGTTTGAGATTGCAGCAGAAAAACTTTGCAACCCAAATACTAACTTGTACTTTGGAGACTTCTACTGCATGTACACAGCTTACCACTATGTCATCCTCGTCCTCGCACCTGTTGGATCTCCGGGAGATGAATTCTGTAAGCAGCGCCTCCCTCAGCTGAACTTGCAGGATAACAAATTTCTGACCTGCACTGAAGAAGATGGAGTCATGATTTACCACCATGCACAAGATGTAATCTTGGAAGTGATTTACACTGACCCTGTGGATCTCTCCCTTGGCACAGTTGCAGAAATTACTGGTCATCAGCTAATGAGCTTGTCAACCGCCAATGCTAAGAAAGATCCCAGCTGCAAGACATGTAACATCAGTGTTGGACGTTAATTTTAATTCTTCCCCTTCCTTTGGAGCCTTCTCTGTTGCCTATTCCCATTGTCAGCCGTTCTCATCAGACGCATGCATAATGCTGTTCTTACCAAATGCAAACACCAGTGATCAAAATTCTTCAACAGTATTCTCTGAGCAGAACTTCATGGTACCCCACTGCTGCCAAAACCTGCACTCTCTGCCAAATTCCCTTCTCTCTTACATTCAGGGTAGGCAACTTACCCTGTTGTGGTGGTATCTATGTATTTGTGTGTTTCTCTTTCAAAATACCTGGCTAAGAGTGGTGGAGAACACAGGGCACAACTGTACACAGTTACACATCTAAACTACGGAGAGAGGTGGCAGAGAGACTGCAGACTCAATATGGACATAGTATTAGGCACAGCAGCCCTGAATCTGTGGTAGCATGAAGTTCTGCTCTTTGTATTTCTTCCCATCTTTCTTCCTTTTTGGTCACCAGTGCTTTCAACTGTTAGAAATCTTGGATTTTTCTTTCTAGAAAACATTTATATGTCTAGATGCTGCAATTGGTGTTAAATTTTCTTTCTTCCCCACCCCTCTTCATATTGCCAAATGTAACAAATCTATATAAACAAGCTTTAGCAAAATAAAAACTACTGGCTTCTAAATGGTGTTTAAATATGCATTCATTTTAATCTACTGAACAACTTAACTGGGATATCGCCAAACAGCATGAAAGGGTGTAATTGCAGCATGATTTAACTCTTGCAGCCTAGGAAAATGTCAGCACTTCCAATGTGTTGTTTGACAGTGTTATTTATGTTATTTATATTAGCTAACAAACCAACCAACCCTGTGTTTCAACATAATAAATAGAAAAATATTTTATTTGTACTGTTGTATAAAATATTATACAATCATATAGAATATATAGATTACATTTTAATAGCAACTGTATACATATGTCATGAAACCATTTTCCCTTATCAAAGATGTAGTTTGTAAACTTCAAATACTTGTGTATCTGTTCCTGTTGCTCTTAATATAACTTTTAATTAAAACAGATTTATGAAGGAGACCATTCTGATTCAGTTATAAATGATCAAGCTAATTACACAGAAACATCAGACATCATAGGGAAAAAACTGACTTGACTTCATAGTGCGACATGATCTCCCAAAGTGTTGGAATATTTTTTTCCTTTTTTTAAAAAAATCATGCTTCAGCTTTAGATACAGCAGAAATACAAACGGGTTGGTGGGTAAATAGGCTTCATAAAATGAACAGCATCATTATTACTATAGCAGAAAGAGCTGAGATACAATCCCTTGTATTTTCTGTCCAGCTCTGGACTATGGGAAGATCCCCACAAGCTTCTGCTGAAACCCCCCTGCTGGCCTTCACAGTACAGTAGTCAAATCAGTTGGAGACCACACAACATGGTTTGTGTTCCCAAAGACAAGAGGCCTTCTCATACTTCCTATGCAGTTACCAAGTGGGTGGGACACATACCTCTTTGCCTATGGATTTCCCTCTTTACAGATGAACCAGAGCTGTAAGACTAAGGATTATGCCTCTGTTTTTTGTGCTGATTAATACAAAAGGACAAAACGAAACCAAGAAACACCAGAGACAATATATATATATCCATCTGGAGCACTTCATAAATATTTGACAGTGAACCTCTGTTTTCTGCCAAACAATGCAACCCTGCTGACTGTCCAGCTCCCACTAAACCATGCTCCATTCTGAACTGATCTATTGCAAATTACAAGAACAGTCTCTATTATAAAATGTGTACTCTGCACCATCAGAGTGAGGAAAATATTCATGTTTATAGTCTATCTTAGACATAACCAAAAAAAGAAAAATCCAGCCTTCTTCAGTTCACAACCATAACACTTAGTTTAAATATTCTGCATACATTGATCTATCCAAAATATCATAATGCAATAAACTATCATCACTATTTTATTAAACTATCTTGGCAATCATCACGCAGGAAATATGAAGATCATACAAAGTGCATGCTTTCAAAACGAGCTTTGGTAGTTAGAAAAAACAAATTGTATAGCATTGGGCTAAGGAAATGTACTACATAAATAAAAATTGGCCTCCATTAATTTTTGCTTCATTTTTGGCTACTTTCGACCACATACAGGCAGTTTGTTTAAGAAGCTGATGGAGGAGTTTTGCAATGTCTTACTGCCTACTACCTGCTCCTCCTGGCTTAAGCTTTCCCTCACATGCCATTTTTATCTTCATATTCTTCCTAGAAAGATGTTCTTTTTTCTAGCATAAAATTATTTTGGCCACGTTGTATCTGCTGCAGTATTATCTTAAACTAAGGTAAGGTGGTTGAATGCTATCATCCAGAATCTCCAACCATCGGCCACACTGGCTAGAAACTCTGGGACCTTTGTTCCAACAACATCTGGAAACCATATATGAGCTAGCATACCATGGCTGATTACATATTACGATTGGCATCCTATCACATCTAATTTTGTTAGCTCACTTGGAATACGAGTAATCAGAAAGGGGCAGACACACTCTCCACCCAAATGGGAAGTGTTATATTTTAGCACACATGATGTATATATACCAGGAAAGCCCAGAGTAATTGATTTTAAATATTCTTTTTAGGGAATCTTTTCTATATCAACATCCACTGAAGAGAAAACTCTGGAATAATTTCTAAAGTCAGCTGCTAGCTCATCTTCTGTGTTGAGCAAGCAAAAACTGCAACTACATCCTTACATATACCCCTCATTTCTCCATGGCTGCATACTGTTAGCAAGATTTAAAACGTGCATTTTTTTTCCTCTTTTCTTGGATGCTTAGTTGACATTACTGAGCCTGCTGACAAGCTTGGAATAACCTCTTTTTAAAAAGAATAAAAACACCAGTACTACCTGAAACAATGTGAACCCAAATACTACATGTCCTAATTTTTTTAATGGCATTAATTAAGACAGAGATAATGGAAAGCCCTTGGTTGATGTTACCTTTTTGATTCAGTAAATTCTATTTCATGAGCTGTTATTGAAGGCCAAGCCACACAAGATCCTCATCTCCCAATCAGAAGTTGATAAACTTTCAGTGATGAGAATTCCTCAGAGTCCATGCCACGGCAATCACACATGCAAGGAAGCACTTTTACCTCCCAAGGACCTCCCATCACAAAATCAAGTAATTTGCAAGGGTTTGGTGGTAAGAAAAGCCAGAGCTAAGACAAACAGAGAATTAGAACTTAAGGGATCTATCTTTCTGTATGTGGAGCTGAGCATATCATATAGTTTAATTCAGTGGCAGTTAGCTCATAACCTCAGTGGATGCAATGATTCGGCAGCCCTTGAGAAAGCAGGATGTTTGAGAAATTGAAAGACAGGCTGTGAGCAGCAGCATTCTGGTGAAAAAAGCAATTTGCTAAACTAGGTTTTTATTAAAAATGTTTGCAGATTTTTTTAAAAAACATTACTGCAGCAAGGTAAGGGTAACATGCAACATTACTTGCATGCAGTACAGATCATCATACCTGTGTCTTAAATCCATTCTGGCACCACTTCTGGGTAGACAGACCATTTGTCTCTATCAAGTCAGTTTTCATTCCTAAGACAAGTTTGTACTGGGAGTAAAATGGACATAACTAGGGCTGTGCCAAGAAGGTTCTAGTTTTAATATTTGCTCCAAAGGCCAGAAAAAATGATGAAATGCATACTGTTTGGTCCTGCTCTATTCCACGTCATTTTGTTCATCTTGCTCATGGTGCCTTTGCTTTCATTTGCTCCCTAGCCATTTAACCCTACGGGTTGTGACAGCTTGTGGGATTTCATTTTGCTATCATGGCAGAAGTAGCATCCTGATATCCTCAGCAAAAGCATGTGTGTTGCAACAGCCAGTAGAATTAAATAACAGCATGGACAAATGAGGCTAAAGGAAAAGAAGAAAGAAAACAGAAATAAGAACACAGTAGAAACGGCATTTTTTCACAGTGAGTGCATGCCATCAACACAAATGGGATGCCCTCACAGAAATGCCAAGGAAGCAAAGTAATTTTGACTTGGCTTTTGTTAAGATTCGTAAAAGGAAATTGTGTGCCAGCATATAGAAGAACCCTGTACCTGATACCCATTTTTTTCTGCATGCAGGAACTTCCTGCTGCAGCACATTCCAGTGTTTAATACAGCAACAAAGTCTGGAACAATGGAGTGTCCTGCCATTTTGCCATGTGAAAAATGGCTGGCCTTATAAGCAGAAGGAAAAATGGGTAACTGCCATCAATAGGACCCTTTACTAAAGCCCATGCATGTGCCCATGCAGACATTGTTGAAAAATCATTTCAAGATAAAAGATTAATAAAGGCAGCTGAATTTCATTTTTAAAATACCCTAATGGGTTATTTTGGCTTTATTTCTGTTACGTTATAATTTATGTTCTTACTTTAGCTTGCTCTATAATAAATGACTATAAATTGATGTTAATATAGTTATGTAAAAAACTAGAGCAGTTGTATGCACCAATTATGGAACAGATTATAAGGCACAGGTTTAAGGATCCAAGGTGAGAGTCAAATGTTGAAGGTAAATCACATTGTTTTGCTTTGTGCCAAAAATGGCAAATTAGCTTCATAGAGCAGCAAATTCCTTTCTCACTTTTATCCCTACCCTTCATCATTTTTAGGAACTTGTATGGTATTTTATTACTAAAAATAAAGAATATCCATACTGGCCAACTACTTCATGATTCCTGTGACAAAAGACCATGTCCCCCTGACCATCGACCTGTTAGGGCAGTGGTTCTCAACCTTGGATCTCCAGATGTTCTTAGACAAAGAACATCTGGAGAAGCCTTCACCATTAAGCCTTCACCATTAGCTGTACTGGCCAAGACTTCTGGGAGTTGTCCTCCAAGATCATCTGGGGACCCACAGTCAGGAACTACTGCGATAGGGTATCTAAACAAATACCCAACATAGGACATTCCTACAGGAGGTTTTAAGCCCCTCCCAAGTCCTTTCAAACCACAGGTGGACTGAATGCTACTGGCAAGCAGCCCTGGCACATGAGAAAGGTCTTCAGTTGCTCATCACTGGCAGTTACATAGACTGACTGAAGGGAAGCAACCAGGTTGCTGTTTGTTTCCCCTAAGACCTGATACCTTGGGGTGAGAAGAAATCATAAGCCCCTGCCTTTGGCACCAGTCAAGTCATTTAGTGTTGGGGTGGAACTTCCCTCATCTGCAGTTCTTCCTTCACCTACCCACCCACAACGAATGCCAGCTTAGCTAAGAAGGCCAATGCGATCTTTCAGTAGCCATCCAATTCCTTTCCCACAGCCCACCTACGACAGAGGAGGTAGAAGGAACATGACAGGATGGGCAAGGGAAGAAGAAAGGAAATAAAGGGCAGTGGAAGAGCTGCCAAGCTTCAGAGTGCTTGTGGAAGAAATCTTTAATTGGGCTCCAGTGCCCATCAGCTTCGACCAACATGACCAGAAGGAGAATGAGTGTTTGAGATCAACAAGATCTGGAGAATCGCAGGTTTCCTACCACTGCATTGAGCCAGAAGACGGGTACTCCTTCATATTTTCCAAAACCATAAGGAGTAAAAGGTGAGCAGCAAGTGTTCCTTACCTTTCACATTAATATACTGAACTGTCAACAGAGCTCTTGGGACAGGCAGGACTGTACTCTATCTTCCAAACTGCCACCCATCACTGTCACAGCTGCCAGCATGGTCATTAAAAAGCCTCATGGTTCTGGTAGAGGCCAAAGGGAATGTGATCCTCCCTGTTGCCATTTCTATATTTTTGCATTTTTTTTCCTCATACAGTAGATCCTCATTCAGAATACTCCTAATAACCTTTAGGGGTCACTGCTGAGAGAGATCATATTTTCTACATTGAGAGGGATACTATAGGGCTACATTATATTTTCCACCACTTTGCCAAAAGAAGGCAGTGTTGTTGTACAAAATCAAGAAGCTGCACTAGCAGCTAAACCATCATTTGATGCCAAGCCAGCCTTCTTCAGTGGTGGTACTATTCTAATGTACTTATTTAGGAGCTGAGAGGTAGCCTGTTACTTCAGAGAAGCAGAGCTATGTTTCATCCACCTGATTTCCTCTGTGCACACATTTGGAAAGCACTAGGTCTAGAATGGTGTAGCAAGAAGGACCAAAGAAACACCGATTTCCAAGATTGCAAGGGATGTCCTCAGCCTAGAATACACTGCCCATCCCTCCACCTTCTGTGCAACAGCTAACCTTTATTGTATCCACTTTCCTAAAGATTAGTACTAGCAGGGGAAGAGCTCCATGATCCTCTGAATTATCACCTGTTTCTTGTATTTTTTTACACTCACTGACTTGAGGCTGCTCTTAGCACAACCACCCCAGCGAGGGGAATCAGCAAATACTGTGTGAACTTTGTATTCTGTTGGTCAAATTTTTGCAACAGGATAAACCCAAATGCTTCATTAAGAAAAGCATGACCTCTATTCTTGGGAATGTTACATTTTAAGACTACTCCTCCCAGACTTTTTCAGGCAGCAGGGCCAATGGCCATGTTTCCTCAGGGATTCTGGGAATTGTAGTCCCAAGTAACATTTGGAAACTCTGATACAATGAAGAAGTTAACCAGGTGTTCAGAATTTTTCTTATTGTGCATAGCTCTGGAATTCTTATTTTTGCATAATCTAGTCAGGATAGAAATGAATTTATAAAGGACCAAGTGTAAAATCCTTAAAGAGACAGAAAGAGAGAAAAACCATCTGCAGAATCTCTATATGATAGAAAAGATTCTTAAACATGCTTCCTTTTGAGTGGTTATTGCTGATATCATATTTCATGATGCTGAAATTGAAGACTTCTAACCAAATGTTAGAATAGCCTGGAGCCTGCTGGAACTGAAGCTGTTTTCTGCACTGTGCCACTTGCATACTTTCTCCCAAGCCAAGCTGCCACTTCTGGGACAGTCATCATTCATCCTTAAAGGCCTGGGAGGCCTTGGGACCAGGTTTTCTGAAAAGCTGCTTACTTCCACATGTACCGTATTTTTCCATGTATAAAACGCCCCCATGTATAAGACACCCCCACTTTTCTAACACAAAATTAAGAAATGTAACTGAGGTCTAGCAAGTGTAGGGGGAAAGGGATCAAAGCAGTGCAGGATTGCTTTGATCCCTGCTTTCTCCCTTCCTGCTAAGCCCCGTGGGGCTTAGCAAAAGGAGGGGAAAGGGATCAATGCAATCCCACAACTGCACAATCATTTTAATCCCTTTCCCCCTTATAAAGCCACAGGATTGCTTTGATTCTTTCCCCCCTCCTTTTGTTAAGTCCCATGGGACTTAGCAAGCAGAGGGATAAGCGCGGATCAAAGCGATCCTGCAGTGCTTTGATCCCTGCTTTCCTTTTGCTAAGGATCAGCAAGTGGAGGGGAAAGCAGGGATCAAAGCCCTGCCTGAACAATTTGATCCCTGCTTTCCCCCTTATTTATTTATTTATTTATTTTATATATGTTATGACCACTCTAGGCAGCTTACAACGTAAATAAAATACACATAAAATACACAATTGAATATAAAATTATTAACATAATGAACAATAAACAAATTCAATAAGATGGAAAACGAACAGTAGGGGAAAAAGGGAAGGAAAACATCAGGGATTAACTGGGGGGAAGGTCTGCTGAAACATCCACGTTTTTAGTTGTTTTTTAAAGGTACCCAGCGAGGTGGCCGCGCGAATCTCCGGAGGTAGGTTGTTCCAGAGGCATGTATAAGATGACCCTCAATTTTTAGTCTAAAGTATAGTTTTATACATGGAAAAATTAATTATCCAAGCCTTAAGATCCCATTCAGAGGCCCAGCTATGAGTGATCCTTCCAAATTAAATAAGGAAGGGGAAGTTTTGCCAATGGCATCCTAGTTACTGAACTGATTGTCTAAAAGAGTTCGCATGGTACCATCTTTTATGATTTTTTGAGAAAGAGCTGAGAAACCTTTCATTCACCCAGGACTTCTACATAATTTATACCTTAAAAGTCTAGACTTCTCCACTTGAAAATTTATATTTTAATTACAGCTTAATCACTATATTGCATTGTCTAATAATTTTAATGCATGTTTTTATTTTACCCAGACCTGTGCAATGGATGGACTGGAGAACCTCTAACATCTCCCCTAGATATTTTGGACTAACTCTCTTTAATTGAAGCCAGCACAACTAATGAAGTGAAATGGCGAAAGGTTGCTCATCTCTGTGTTATGAGGTGTCTGTATGAATAATTATATTGCCTGCTCACTTCTGTCCCAGCTCTGACATCACACAGGATGTGGTAGGCATTCTAGGTAAGTAGGAATTTCCATTAAACTGGGGAATTTAGACTGTTTGTTCCTGTTTCTTGACAAACAGAACATCAAGAGTCCACTAGCACAAGATGGGTAGCAGCCTGAAGCCTGGATGTACTGTACGGCTTCAAAAAAATGTGCCTTCCTACACACGTCCTCTGTATTTCATTTATGGAAAGACTGAGTGATCATCTTCCCAATATGAGCAAAGGATGGGCCTGGGGGGGGAAGGGGGGGAAGGGGACAACTTGTTTCAAGGTTGCTCCATCCATTCACTATATTCAGTATAGTTGTCGTGACTGCATTTGCAGGAGAAAAAATCCTAGTAGAGCTTTAGAAGAAACGAGCCACCACCAACACAGCTCACTAAACATATGCTTTTCTGTGGCAAAGCACAGGGAAAGCCTATCAGAATGAACGCTGGGTCCAGCTCCAGGAGACAACTCACAGGGAAAAACCATCCTTCCATTCAGTCATTCCCACTGCCTGAATTCACACATGTGTTTCAATCTCTCTCACACCTGCACGCGCACAAAATTGCTCACCTGCAGTGGTATAACATTAATAAAGTGCATCAGAATTTCAAGATGTCAAATCATTGTGCAGAAAGAACCAGACCTGTGTAATTCTCTCTCTCATTCTCTCTCTTGTTTTTTCCCCACCAGGGAATTTTACTATTGCAAGTCACTGGCTTCATAGGGTTTTTGAGACATCCTGCTTGCTGATGAGAACCTCCAGTAGCCGAAGCTTGGCTTTAATATGCTTGTACTCCAAATACTCCTCTGACATGGGGATGCGGTCTTCCTTTTGGGGGGTCCTGCAAAATGAACACCAACACTTTAGTGACAAAGGAATAAGGATTCACAAAATATTTCTCTCCTGGAGCAAAACCAGGACCTTTGTGCCTTGCTCCTTCGTTTCTTCCTTCCAGCTACTGGTTGCCTTAGATCAGCGGTCCCCAACCTTTTTGGGACTGCGGACCGGCTGAGCCTCTGAGGAAGGTGGGCTCCCCCGCCCTCACGCACTCTTGGCACATGCGTGAAGTGGTGGGGGAGCATGCACCCACCCGCCAGGAGTGCTCCCCCACCCCTTCGTGCAGCAGGAGCGCCTGCATGCCCGCCCGCCTGCCCGCACACCCCTTCGCATGCGCACATGCATGAAGGGATGGGGGAGTGCACACCAGTGCTGGCACGCATGCGCGTGCACAAAGCAGCTGTGTGGAGAGGAGTGCATGTGGAGGGGATGGGAGGTCTGTCTCTGCAGCCGGGTCCGGCTCAGGCTACGGATGGGCACCAGGCCGCGGACCGGGGGTTGACAACCTCTGCCTTAGATGACAAAACCAAAACAGGGTAGTGAGGCAAGATGTTAAGGAACATGACTGAAAGAAGTACAGTGGTACCTCGCAAGACGACGACCCCACTAAATGACGAATCCGCATAATGATGACTTTTTGCGATCGCTATAGCTATTCGCGAAACAGTCATTCCAATGGGGGATTTTTGCTGGACGTTGATTAGGTCCATGCTTTACGAACCGTTTGTTCGCAAGATGACAATTTTTTCAGCTTCACAAAATGGCTGCACTGTGTTTTCCAGACCCATGCTTCACAAGGCAGCCATTTTTACAGCTGATCGGTGCTCACAAAATGGCTTCCTATGGGCGATCTTCGCTGGACAACGAGGTATTTTCCCCATTGGAACGCATTATACCGGGTTGCAATGCATTCCAATGGGGAAAGGGGTTTTGCATGACGACAATTTCGCTAAACAGCTATTTCAATGGGACGGATTATCGTCGTCATGAGGGGCACCACTGTATGTTCAAAAGTCAAAGGAGGAATAGGAGAACACATCCCTCCCCACAGACATACACTATTTTTATTCTTCCAGATATACCTCATCTCCTTGCCTCAAAGAAGAGATCTGAAGAAGTGGACTTGTCACCTTCAAATATAGCAGTGAGTCGAAGTGGACTTGTCCACGAAAGCTCACCTTCAAATATAGCAGTGAGTCTTTTAAGATACCACCAGGTCTTTGCCTTCATTTTTTATTTTTGCCTGATATGCTATCACAGACTAACACAACTACCTCTTCTAAAACTACAGCTTACCTTAGGAGACAAAAATACAATATCAAGCAGTATGTGGTTTTGATGCAAAAAGCAACAGTCTCAGAGCTTGCTCTGAACTGGGAGAGATTCATGAAGTTTCTTTTCCCATCAGGGCTGGTTAGGGTATCTTTTTCTCAATTCTTTAAAAAAAAGAAAAAGATGCTATATGTGCATCACTCCTAATCAGTGGAGAGATCTAAGGCCCTTCCTTTTACCTGGAGCTTCTTTTTTTCTTCTTCTCTGTAGTGAGGATTTGTTTATTTCTGGGAGAAGGTGAGGAGGGAAGGATGTGGCACATCAAGAGGGAACACGATCAAGAGGGAAAGTGCTTTTTTATGCTGAGCTATTGCTGCCTCAGTTCAGCTCTCTGATTTTTCTTCTTAAAAGGAAAAATGTGATACAGCTGACTTGGATCACTTGTGATCAGCCTGATCAGGTCTATGGTCACTCTTGTGGTCCTTCCAATAGGTCAAGAGCTGCTCTCACTGACAAATGGTGTACAAATGTTCTCACAGGATGATTAGGGCATTAACTCCCCAAAGTATTTGCAGTGCTGCACTTCCAATCCAGGATGGAATGCTGAGAGATGGAAGTAAAGGCTTGAATATGTTGGGAGACCCAAAAGAGGCCCCTCCCCGCATGCACACAATGGCAGCTACTGATGGCACCCCAGATTGAACTGCTGATGTGGACCCCCACCCCTTCTTCCAATTAGGGTAGAAGGTGTGGCGATCTCCTCTGAAGCCCCTATTCCCCCCCAGGCTTTCACAAGGTTCTCACTCTTCTTCTTTCTTCACTGCCACCAGGTATTACTGCTTTAATACCATATAATCATGGAGACATATGTGCTTTTAAAACTTAAGTCATTTATTAGATCAGGGAAGTTAAGATATAAATAATATTCAATAGATAAATCACCGGCTGCTAATCACTTACATTTGAATCAAATCTGATATCACTTTAAAGTACTTTTAACCCTCTGTTTCCATCTAGACTCTTACAGATCTCTAACTCTTGAAAGTGTCTGGAAATTTCACTCAGTCTCTACCAGAATCTCCCTCAGACTCCATCCACCAGTCTTTATATCCAGCTCCCTCCCCCCCCTTGCCTCCACCTTCCGTCCACTCATTGGCTCCTTCTTCAATGTTCTGTGGTGACGGAACAGGGCTGTTCACTACAGATGGCTCCACTGTGGACAAATCCCCCAGATCGTTAACACACTTTGTTGGTAAACCTTTCGGGAACATGAGTGTGAAATTGGACTCCTGTTTTAACTCAGAGCACGGGGGGCATGGTGGGGGGACTCTTCTACCCGAAGGCTGGGAAGTACAGTGGCGCCTCGCTTGACGATGTTAATTTGTTCCAGCGAAATTGCTGTAGAGCGAAAACATCATCAAACAAAATAAAAAAACCCACTGAAACGCATTGAAAACCGTTCACTGCGTTCCAATGGGCTGAATACCTGCTCGTCCAGCGAAGATCCTCCATACGGCGGCCATTTTCGGTGCCTGTAAAGCGAAGAAGCCGTTCTAGAAAACAGCGGGGGCCATTTTCCTCAGCCGGCGGCCATTTTGGAACCCGACGATCAGCAAAAGCGATTGCAAAAACCTAATCGTACAGTGATTTCCTTGTTAAGCGAGGCAATCGTTAAGTGAGGCACCACTGTACTGCCAAATCTTGGATTTGTGCAGCCACAATTCATGGAATAAGCACCCTAAAGCAAAAAGGTAAGTGATTTACTTGTTGGACTATAAGATGCTATAGGTCAGTACTGACACTGCAGAAGTGCTGAGATAAGACATGATGCATGCCAGGGCCTTACCTCCCTGTTTGTTTCAAGAACTGTTCCTCAAATTCTCGTAGCACTTTCCTTAGCCTTTTCTTGTCAGCTCTTGTTTCTCGGAGATGTTCCAGCAGCACAGGCCTGCAAAGAGAAAATTGGAATCTGAAGGTTGTATAGTTTGAAGTTAGGTAGCAAACCACAGACTCAGGCATATACATGCTGCATTGACTACTATTGCCTCTTACGGTCTGTGCCAAAGCACAGGATTAGGCAGCACGCTTTCTCAAAAGCACTGTGGATATCTTCCTAACTCACCTTGAACCCAGTAGTCACTAATAGTTCTAATAATGCACAGAGCAATTTGAACTCACCTAGCTATAGCAGCATTTTGATTTGTACTTGCACAAGGCAAGTAAGAAAAGTTGCATTACATTAGGTGTATAAGCTTGCATTGATTGGTAGCTCAGAACCACTTCACAATACGGCAGGAAAACCCCCTGATTCGCTTTTCCTGTTCCTTCCATGGACAGTCTTGTTTGAAATCAGTCTGTTACATCTTCCTCAAAAACAGTGCATCGTGCGATTTTCTAACATTTCATCAATGTGAAGTCAGCACTCACATAGTAGCCTCATGTAAATTGGACATAGGTAGAGCTGGTTGTTTGATTGCTTTCTTTTCATCCAGGGGGGAAACAAAGGTGGGCTCCTTGTCCTCGTCTGAATGATGTAGATGTTCACCAGTAGGCAAATGGAGCATCATAGCAGAACATAATTCATCAGCACTCTGGGAGCGATCATCATCAGAATCTTCCTCCTCCTGTTTGGAACAGGGAAGGATGGTCATCAGGTTAGTTCCCTGCATGCATATCATAGAACATTAATGGTAAAGAGAACACAACAAATCAGATCTACAGTACAAAATTGTAATTGAGATGATTCCAGAGGACAGGAGGTGCTTGAGCAAACAAGAGATTTGTGTATTTTTTTTAAAGTACAGTAGGACCACCATAACCACAGGATCAGTACCCACATTTTAACTCATCCACTACCTGAAAAAAATAAAATAAAGTAAATAAAACCTAGAAATACATATTCCCAAGATGTGCTACCACTTGATGGAACCAGAGACTATGCTCATATATACAGTTGGCTTAACGGAAATGCATTCATGGTCTGACAACTTCCAATAAAATCGAGAAGCTACATTTGCAGGGAAGGTAGCTGTTGCTGGTTTCAGGAAAGCCTCCCTTGAAAACAGAAGGGCTGGAAAACCAGTCCTTTGTCAAGAGAGGGAATCTGGCAAGACTGGGCCAGAGCTAACTCTCTCAACCATGCACAGACACCAAGGAAACTGGAAGTGAGTGCTTCATTTACCCTTGCTTGCTTTCCGGCATCCACTGGGGGATTTGGAACCAATTCCCCACAGGTATCATGATCCTACTGTAGTCTGAGAGTGCAATTGACTCTCAGATCAAATATGCTGACTCATACTCAAGGATTCAAGTATATCGGTGTTGCTCTAAGCCAGGGGTCCCCAAACTTTTCAGCAGGAAGGCCACATCATATATGCTCCACATTTTTGAGGGCCAAAGGAAGATGCACTGTGCATATGCTCCCACACACACGCACAATGCTTGTGTGTGCACACCCGCCCACTGGGCTGGATAAAAAGGCAAGGACTGCTGGATGTGGCCCATGGGCCATAGTTTGGAGACCCCTGCTCTAGGATATCTAACTGTATCAGCATCAATGTATGCTGCCTGAGCTCTACTCCATTTTTCTTCCACAGAGTTTCCATAATTAATAGCATTCATACATGACGAAGAAAGTCAGACAGAAGTAGAATGAATTGTGCTCTTTACTATTTTTTTTAATGAAGGTATCCAGTTATGTTCACATAGTGGCACTGCTTCAGTGCAAATGGCTACTGAATCATATTGCCCTTCATTCTGTACAATGGCCACAGTCCTTTTCATCCTTCCCTTCTCTGTCTCCAAGTATGTTCCACTCCAGATTAGTTCTCATCTGTCAATCCCTGTGAGATCACTCTCTAACAGAATGCAAATGTTTGTCCACAGTGTTAGCAAGTAAGCCTAACATCCCAGTCCAAAGCAAGTTTATTTTCAAGTAAAATCATGTTTAATTCAGCAGTTTATTTCTTAGAAAGGATCCTTGCAAATACTGCAGAGCTGAAGAATTGGTGACTCTCCAGATGTTGTTGGATTCCATCCAGCATGACAAAACAATAAGGGAGTTTGGAGATTGTAGGCCAAAACATCTGGAGGGTCAATGACTCTCTATTCCAAAAGAGATGTAAGTGGAAAAGGGTTCATTTGCACTCCTGTGGAAAACAATGGTGTTATGATTGATGCCGTGCATTAAATGTGGAAATACACTATTTTTTTGCCTACCCACCAAACAGATTCCCCAGATGTTTACTGTTGTTTAAAGACACGTGCATACAGAGTTGGTGTTCACTGCAACAGCCTTAACATACAGAGCTGTTTAAACTACTCCTGTCTACAGAAGAAAAGATGTGGCACAGCATTATTTATTACCATTCTATACTTTTAATTCTGACTTTAGAGCTGCTTTACAAATGTGACAGCATTCTCTTTTTTCCATCCTGAGGAATGTTAGTTTGCACTGTGCCTTCCAGACACTACATGAGACATATCACAATCACTTTTAGACTCACAATGGTTGTAATCAAAGATGGTGTTGACAGAAGCTGCTTGATAATTCTGTATCTTTCATAAAGTGGCTTCATCAGACTCCTGTCTTGCTTATTTACCTGAAATAAAGCAAAAATGTTCAGAGTAATCATTTCATAAAATGTTCAGAGATAATTCAATTTTTAAAACACAAAACAAAACAAAACAAAACTACAACCCTCTCTATGTTTTATGAATGTGGGACATCGGTTCCTATATCCACAGTGTAGAACTTTATGAAATGGTCTGACACTGCCATTGTCAAAAAGCAGCCATGACAATTGCTTTATGTTTGTGGGAGAAGTAGATAGCTCATGAATAAAATAATCTGGGTGTGACATGGGGAAAAGTCCTGTTTTCCTTTGCTTTGTTGCCAACATTCAGGCTGGCCCTTGCCATATAAAGCTCAGCATCCTTCTTGCCGGCAATGTAGGCATGATATTGCAAAGCAATGTGAGGCTGTTTCCTGATGTTTTGATTTGTGGACACAGAAAGCAATATCCCACCTTCAAGAGGTTTTTTAAGCACACACAATACACTCAGATTTCCAGTACAAGTAATAATCTGGAGGTCTAGGCAACCATAAAATATATACAGTACAGTTCATGGAAGGACATCAATAGTCTAATCTATTTGCCTCTCCTCCCCTTCTCTGTGGCTTCTTTCTTTGTCTCCCTCTCCTTCTCCATTGCTCCTCTCTCTGTGTGCAGGGGGGTCTTCTTTCTTTCTCTCTCGCATGCTCAGTCTTTCTCTGTTGCATGCGTGTTCTGTGAAACACATGCCAGAGTGGAAGACTGCAATCTCTGGGGACTCCCGGCTTGACGTCGCGACGAGACAGCAGCAGGAGGGCAGAGCTCTGTCCCCTGGGCTGAATTCTGACCCATTTTGGGACACCGTAGGGTGTCGGAACCACCCTGGAGGGGTGGTGAACTGGGGGAGAAAGCCTGTTGATCACAGGGGGCGGCGGCCACCCCAGTTTGATCCAGGAAACTCCCTAATCAGCCAACGGGCAGAAATAAGCAGCTTCGGCGAGCTTCCAAGTCGCTGGCAGCCGGCTGAGAGAAGCAAGGAACAGCACCTGGCATCGCTGTTTTTCCATCGGGTGAGAATCTTTTTACAACTAATTGCCTACGTAACCCTACATATGGAAAAAAAGAATTGCTATCTTATCTCATGCTTGATAATTCTGTATCTTTCATAAAGTGGCTTCATCAGACTCCTGTCTTGCTTATTTACCTGAAATAAAGCAAAAATGTTCAGAGTAATCATTTCATAAAATGTTCAGAGATAATTCAATTTTTAAAACACAAAACAAAACAAAACTACAACCCTCTCTATGTTTTATGAATGTGGGACATCGGTTCCTATATCCACAGTGTAGAACTTTATGAAATGGTCTGACACTGCCATTGTCAAAAAGCAGCCATGACAATTGCTTTATGTTTGTGGGAGAAGTAGATAGCTCATGAATAAAATAATCTGGGTGTGACATGGGGAAAAGTCCTGTTTTCCTTTGCTTTGTTGCCAACATTCAGGCTGGCCCTTGCCATATAAAGCTCAGCATCCTTCTTGCCGGCAATGTAGGCATGATATTGCAAAGCAGTGTGAGGCTGTTTCCTGATGTTTTGATTTGTGGACACAGAAAGCAATATCCCACCTTCAAGAGGTTTTTTAAGCACACACAATACACTCAGATTTCCAGTACAAGTAATAATCTGGAGGTCTAGGCAACCATAAAATATATACAGTACAGTTCATGGAAGGACATCAATAGTCTAATCTATTTGCCTCTCCTCCCCTTCTCTGTGGCTTCTTTCTTTGTCTCCCTCTCCTTCTCCATTGATCCTCTCTCTGTGTGCAGGGGGGTCTTCTTTCTCTCTCTCTCGCATGCTCAGTCTTTCTCTGTTGCATGCGTGTTCTGTGAAACACATGCCAGAGTGGAAGACTGCAATCTTAATCAACTCTCTTGCCCCAAATTAAGTCCTGTTCCCCTTAATGAGATTCAAGTACTGTATTTAGTTTCCTGAAGTACAGTGGGGTCTCTACTTAAGAACGTCTCTACTTAAGAACAATCCAACTTAATAACAGCTCCATTTGCTAAATTAACACATGCCAGAGTGGAAGACTGCAATCTTAATCAACTCTCTTGCCCCAAATTAAGTCCTGTTCCCCTTAATGAGATTCAATAATCGGGAAGACACTGACATGTAAAAAACAAATAATTGCAAGCAAGTATGTAACACAATGTTTGACAAGCACAAACAATGTAGATAGATTGGAAAATTAATAAAAAATGTTTTTAAAAAATAATCTAATCTATTTGCCTCTCTTCCCCTTCTCTGTGGCTTCTTTCTTTGTCTCCCTCTCCTTCTCCATTGATCCTCTCTCTGTGTGCAGGGGGGTCTTCTTTCTCTCTCTCTCGCATGCTCAGTCTTTCTCTGTTGCATGCGTGTTCTGTGAAACACATGCCAGAGTGGAAGACTGCAATCTTAATCAACTCTCTTGCCCCAAATTAAGTACTGTTCCCCTTAATGAGATTCAAGTACTGTATTTAGTTTCCTGAAGTACAGTATCAGCAAGATGTTTGGGCAACTTTTGTGGAATACTTCAATAAGCATGGTCAGCCAGAAATGTTATGAAAAATTTCCTAAGTAAAACAAGCATTTTGAGGTCATTTATCTGCTAAGCAACAATTTTAAATAAATAAAAGCATTTCAATTTCAGGAAAAAGTAGCAGCATTTTATTCAGTATGTGCCGCCACCTCCACCTTGCTCCAAAAAAAACTCCTGTATCAAAAACAAGTTCACAGGGAAACCTTTCCAGAACAACAACTAGGACTTTAAAACTATTTGTCCAACCTTCTCAAAATTTGTGAAGTGCAGTCCGATACAAATCTAACTTGCTGCCAACCAGGAACTTATTGGATAATTTTTTAATTCTTATTTTTAAAAAAACCAAACAGCAGTATTTGGAATGTAGAACAGACTGTGAAAGTCATGTTTTGTACTGTCTATAATACTGTCTACAAGGTTGAAATGTATAGCAACATACTCTCCCCTCTTCTTTGGCACACAACATGATGCAATGTGAACAAAGGGGTGTTTGTCACAATCCGTACGTTTCCTTAAATTTCCATAGAATTGATAGTACCATAGTACAGCTCACACAACATGTCACTCTCACATTTTGCTTTACACTTCATGCTATTGCTTCTTCTGTATACATTTAAAGGTTGGTAAATAAATTTCTGGTGGTAAACAATTACTTCAAATTAATCCCTATACTTGACTAGAATGATGGGGTCAGAGATTCACTGCTCCTGCAAAACGTCACTGCTAGCAATCCCAAATGCCATGACTCACAATCTTGGCAACGCTTTGCCTCTGGCAGCTGCAGGACTTGTCAACCCAAAAGAGCAGCATAGCTCTGGCAGGAACACTTGCTTTAGTTAGAGCCTATGGGGACTATCAGTGTCAACGCGATGGACATTCAGACCCACATACACTTGCATCTCACAATATGAGCGAATATCGTTTCAGCATAGCTAAGGAAAAGATTCAAGCCAACAATGAAACCACATGAATGAAAACTTCACCCTGATGGCTAAACATATTAAGCTGATGTCCTACCCTCAAGACTTCTCAAATAATTTTCACAGAAGGACTCATGATAACACTTAGCCCCCGAGCACCAGCAGGGTAGGAAAGACCATTCGGACAGTATTGAGAAGTTTTGGCTCTAAGGCCCTTTTGACCGACATCCCTATCTAAACTGATAACAAGGCATGGTTGAGGAATTCTATTCTCCCAAACAAATGAGCAGATCAGAACTGATTTTAGAACAATATTATACTGCCTTTCATTAAATCAACAAAACCGAAACGGTTTACAATAGTTGAAACATACAATAAGGCTGAACACAATCAAATCATACAAACAATAAAATAGTGTAAGAATGATAGAACAATAAAATACTCCATTATTACCACCAAGAGTGACTCACCAAGTTAATAATCAGGATATCTTTTAAATAAAAGTTATCCACCAGATTTCACACTTTGCTGAATCTTTCAACAGAATTCTCAGATTTTTTTTTAAAAAATGGCTAAAATGTGTACTGTGAAAATAACAATTTTAGAAAATATATTTCAATGAAGCATTTAATAAGGGCGATAACATGCCTTTTGTTGCACAGATGTTTAAAAGCCATAGATAAATGCAGAAACTGGACAAAATTAATTTAGGGGTAAACATATAAAAGTATAGACAAATTTGCTCTTCCTACTGGGAACCCTTTCATTTTATGTTTGACATGTGAAGTGTGTACATTATGGGCAGCAACTGCACAGACACACAGAGCCCACACTTAGGAGAAGACAAAAGATAGAACTGTGCTCTCTAGGATAAATAAAAGGTCAAAAGAAAAACACTGTTCAGATGCACGATGGGGAATGTGCTAGGTACACCGGCTCCTTCATTTCCTGAATGACTAGCTAAAAGCTGGGTTTATACTGGGATGTTCTCCAAACTATTAGGAATCGTGAAAAATCAGGATTTTTGGTCAAGTGGGAGGCTTCCACGTGTAAGGGAGGCTCTCCTCTTCAGTCTTGTTCACCACATGTGAAGAGTGGCAATAGAATGGACAGGAGCAATGAGCTCCTTCCTTGCTTGTTTATTTCATATAGATAATACAATGCCTCAATAAGGCAGAAAATCCTTAAAGAGGTGTCTAATGTGAAGATACCCACAGGAGATTAGAAAGGGGATACCAGATGAGCTAAACAGAACTTGTAAATAAGAACATACAAGCATTCGGTTCTCTTATCCTGAACCACAACACTGGTCCACGAAGAATTGGCTCTTCTGACTGCCAGGAGCTGTCCACAGTTTCCAACTAAGTCTTTAGCTCCCTCCTCAGTTAAAAAAAAAATTCTGCCCACCAAGAGTGGTGGTTTTTGCCTTAAGAGTCTTGGAGTTATTCTCCCATTACACACACATCCCAGAAACCCCAAAGAAAAGCTGGAACTCTTGGGCAGATATTTCCTATTTGGCAGGCGTTTAAAATAGCTGTTTTGGCCATTTCCTGCCCTGGTGCCCCACACAGTTAGGGTCTCAGGACTAGAATTTGGCTCTTAGCCCATTGAGATCCCTCGCTCCTGTCTTTTTCCACTTACAGTGTTCAGAATGTGTTCTCCACTTGAACTGTCAAGGCAAATGAACTGGAGGAGTAATCAAGGAAAAGGAGAAATGGATGGAGATTTTTATTTATTTTTTTGCTCAGTCACCTATGTTCCTTTCATTTATTAAAAGTCATCCTATTTTTTACATCTTAAACTGATGGAGAAATGAAATGTTTACATTTCTGTGTCTGCTGTGCTGCATAAGCACTTGCAGCTTCCTGAATTATGTGAAATGGTTTCCTTGTCACACTAAAGCAGCACTGGGCAATCATGGTGGATCAAGAGAGAAATTCCCTCGGTCTTCTCCACCATAAACCATAACATGCTTCTGCTGCTGCAACTCAGCAGCAAACTGTAGTGCCAACACTTGGGGGGAACCCAAAAAAAATCCCACTAAATGCACTATAGCCATTAAGTGCTGCAATTCAGTGGCAAACTATCAGAAGCCATGGAAAGTGATGTACGTTGTGGGTTTTCCCCAGTTTGGCATCTAATTTTAGCTGCACAGTATTTAGCTGCATGTTTCCCACAGGCCACTGGAATTCAACTGGCTTGAATGTACTTAGATATTGGCACTCCTTGGATATGTTCCCAGTCACTGCACTTCAGGAACCCCCAAAGACTTTTTGAAAAGCTGGTTACAGCTTTCCTTGACATTCTGCCCTCCCAAATCTTGAACTATGTTTCCTATTATCCCCAAGCAGTATGGCACTGCTGGTTAGGGATGATACGGTATATAGTTTAAGAGGTAGAGGAAATATGGATTATAACACCTGACTGTCACATGTTACATGAGTAATCTCACAGATGGTTGACTGAAGGAATTTATATGTGATGGATGATTTTGAGGGGGTTATCTGTCTTTTCAAGGCATACTTACAGGTCGTCCATGAATACTTTCAAAATAGAGTAGGCTTTTCTGGAGACTGAGTTTTTCCAAAGCCATTTGCTTTTTTGTCATAGCCTATTTAAAAAAAATTATGTATAAAACAATTAAGAATCAGGTTGTAAATTCAGAGAGGGCCACGTATGTATTACCCAAGCATATAATTAGTATTCTTCCCACCCCACTCCCAGCCCTAAAGTATCTTCCATAGAAATGGTTTCCACTGTATGTTTACTAGCTATAATGCGAACACAGGGCAAAAGCAAAAAAAAAGGGGGGGCACTATTTTCAAAGGAAAAGAACTAAACACATGGTGAAATAAGGAATCTTTTCTATTATGTATTAATTTATGATCTTACCCCCCCCCACCGGTGAAGTACAGTATATTCACACACTTTTGTCACATAAATATTGAGGCTGAAGTAACAATTTATTGACTCTCTTGACTCAGACACTGTCATGTGAATTAATCCTTTGACTCAGAAACAGGGAATCTGCAGCCCAGCAGATAGTGTGGGACTATAACATTCATCCTCCCCTGCCGAATCTGATGGGAGTGGAAGTCCAACAAGGTCTGGAGAGCCATCTATTCCAAAACCTCTTTCGAAAAGGAATCTCAGAGGTCAGGCTACAGAGAAGAGAGATTTTTAATGAACATGCACTGTTGTTTTCAGCTATTCTCTCCTGAGGCCTCTAGGAAGAACCACGTATTTCCTGTGTAAATGCATAAGAAAAGTCTCCAGCGGCTGCTTGTTCATGCAAAAGAGTTTTTGAGAAAGGCTAATTTGAAGCAGAGAAGCATCAGAAAACAGGCAATGTGTAATCATCATCATCATCCTCTCCCCTGCTTTCCTGCTACAACATCCTTCTATCTCTTGATGTGTGTTTCCAAAGCAGAAGATGTAATTCTGCCTATATACTGTGTCTGACTACTTCAGTGGTTTTTTTGTTTTGTTTTTTGTAAGGAGTGAAATGTAAAGTACGATGAGGTGCTGATAGGTATTGAGCCCTTCCTAGAAAAAAATTGAGCTAGAAAGCTGTAACTGCCACACTATTCTACATATTCCCCCAAGGAGGTCAATGCACTTGCAACATCTGTCCTGCAGCTTCTTAAGTCCCTGCAAATAAAATTCTTCCATCTGCTGGTGTAACTACTCATTTGCAGCATTAGTTGCCTCCAGGACACTCCCAAATCGTTGTCCCTTTAGATGTTTTTTGAGTTTGGGGAACAGATAATAGTCAGAAGGAGCCAGGTCGGGA